GGGATGGGGGAAATTCCCCATTCCTCGATCCGTTCTTATAGTGGGAAGGCGAGAGTCATGTCTAGATTGTACCATAACTGGAAGTGTAATCGATGAGTGATCCCAGTCTGACCTGGGAGTGGGCGATCGAATTCCCATCGATCGTGATGGGTGATGTAGTGAGCTATTAAGGGATTGATGATTGATAGTCGGAGATATCAGGACAGATGGGTCAGCCACGGATACTTGGCGCTCCTCAATGGAGCGTACCGTGTGCGAGGTCGCGACGGGTGAGAAGGGTGAGAGCTTCGCGTAGTTGCCATCGGGTACTTGGCGTTCGCAGTGCGAACGTACTGGTAGCGGGTTGATATCGTAGGCGTGCAATGAGGGCTGACTATTAGGGCCTTCGGTGACTTGGCGTTCCCAAAGGGAACGTACCGTTGGCGGGACATGTGATGACTGGCAAAGGAAGAAACAGATGGTGGATGGGCGGCTACTTGGCGTTCGCGTAGCGAACGTGCCGGCATCGAGGGTAAGTGGGCCTCATAGTGTTCACGATCACCCTGATCGTGATGGGACGTCGTATGTTGAGTACTGGGGGAGAGCGGAGTGATGAAGACCCATAGGGTACAGGTTCAATAGGACGATACACACGTCGAGAGTCTTCGACTCTCGACTTCAAGTTCTCGCGGCGAGGGCCGTTAGAGGACTTGATATAACCCGACTTATAAGACATAGTGAGAGTTGTACAGTCACACAGGTTCAGTTGAGTCACAGGGAGGGTTGTTACAGAAGACGGTACACGAGACAGTTGTAGAGCAGTTGTTAGTTAGCGGGAACCGCCTTCGGCGGTTTCCGTACATGACGCGTGACTATCTACAAATGGTAAGGTCGCGGGAAATCCCGCGAAACACAACAACCTCGGCCAGCACCAAAACCCCAATGGGGAAAGCTTTGCACGAGGGGGGAAAGGGGTAGAACAGGTAAGGAGGATAGGGTAGCGGGATAGAGGACGGAAAGGGGAAAGAGGGGAGGAGCGATAGAGAGGGGAAGTCTTTGACCATGCGATGGATATGGTTGTTGGAGACTCCGTATCCGTAACACCGATGGTACATGATCCTCATGACCAATGGGCTACTGGCCAAGTTCGACGAGATTGCTTTGCAGTACAAGGAATGTTTCAGAGAGGTATGTTGTATTTCATCATTTACATACTGTGGCGTGTCACAACATTGGTTCCAAACTACCAACATGTTCGCAAACATTCCGGTAACATCATTGGGTCAAATGTTACCCAGATGTTTGTGAACATTCTGGTAATATTGGGTCAAATGTTACCCAGATGTTCGCGAACATTCCGGTAACATAGGGTCAAATGTTACCCAGATGTTTGCATACATTCTGGTACCATTGGGCCAAATGTTACCCAGCTGTTTGTCATATCCATTCCTGGCCATCGACTTCCGGCCCCCCCGATCCCTCCAGTCTACCTCCACTCCTTCTTTACTAACCTCGGAGCTCCCGTATTCCGCAATCCTCTCGGTACCCCTCGATGGTCACCACCCCCTCCTTTCAATTTATTACCTACGCCTCCCTAAGTATGGAGCCCCGAAGACTTCTGGACAGCTCCGACGTCCGCTAGCGCACCCCCACCTCCGCTGGGCAATACACTTGCCTGCCCTGCAGAGCCCACCTTCAGGCCTATCTCTCCTTTCCGTTTCTGGGTTATCGCCCACCTTTCCGTTAACCCCGTGACCCGACTCGTCGGTAATATTCAGTCAGCTAATGTTTAACCCCGTTAGCTCCGCTCCGTTTGGCTCTGCCATTTGCGGACCCATCTTCACTGTAACCATATATATATCCAACTTGTACATAGGTTACACTTCAGTAATAAAATCGACTAGAGTTACCCCCCTTCAGTTCTGGTTGCCAGTTAGTAAGTTAGGGCACAGACATGTTACTAGGCACAGCGCTCTTGGCATAAGTCGCTGAGGCCGAAGCCCTCCACCACGGAGACTTTCCTTCGTCTCGAACCTGGTCTCTGACACTGTTCGCATACATTCCGGTAACATTTGATCAAATGTTACCCAGCTGTTCATGAACATTCTGGTAACATGGGATCAAATGTTACCCAGATGTTTGCGAACATTCCGGTAACATTGGGTCACATCCCATCAGATTGTTTGCAATCATTCTGGTGGCAGGGCAGCTGCCAGAGTAATTGCCAACCTTCTAGCACACTCTGAGTATCTGTGACTATCCTGATTAAGAGCCCTAAACTCACCTGTATCTGATAGATCAGTGCACGGTGTCATATCCATACAATCCCGACCTCCGCTCCGGGCTCCCGGGACTCCGAACCTGACTTCCAGAGTCCTACTTCCCTTCTGCCACCTCCTCCTTGCCGACTTCCAAGAGGTTATCCCACCTCCGGCTCCAACACCACCTTCGGTGCGACTCCGGAACATTCCGGGTCCGACCTCATCCTCGACACCTTCCAGATGAGCATGCAACACCTATGCTCCCGACTCCGGACCTCCGCTCCGGAATCCCATTTGCGTCTCCATCTCCGGAACCTCTGGTCTTAGCTCCGACCTTGGACTTTGACCCCACCTCCGCTTATACCCATTGTATTGGTTAGCTCATTCCATTTAATTATGTTTGCCAATATTCTGGAGTTTAACTTCCGAGTTCGGACTTTCCGGACTTACGTTGGACCTTGCAACTATTGCATTGCTCCATTCAATTCTGCTATTCTCCCTCATTCCTATTTGGGCTGCTGCTTCCTTTCTATTCAGTCAGCTGGCCATTCCCCACTCCCATCCTCCTTCCTTCCTCCTTGGGCTGTCATATCCATACAATCCTGACCTCCGCTCCGGGCTCCCGGAACTCCGAACTCTGACTTCCGGAGTCCTACTTCCCTTCCGTCACCTCCTCCTTGCCGACTCCCAAGAGGTTATCCCACCTCCGGCTCGGACACCACCTTCGGTCCGACTCCGGAACATTCCAGGTCCGACCCCAACCTCGACACCTTCCAGACAAGTACGCAAAACCTATGCTCCTGACTCCGGACCTCCGCTCCGGTATCCCATTCACGTCTCGTCTCCGGAACCTCCGGTCTTAGCTCCGACCTCGGACTTTGACCCCACCTCCGCTTATACCCATTGTATTGGTTAGCTCATTCCATTTAATTACGTTTGCCAATATTCCGGAGTTTAACCTCCGAGTTCGGACTTTCCGGACTTACTCCGGACCTTGCAACTATTGCATTGTCCATTTCAATTCCGCTACTCTCCCTCATTCCTATTTGGGCTGCTGCTTCCTTTCTATTCAGTCAGCTAGCCATTCCCCACTCCCAACCTCCTTCCTTCCTCCTTGGGCCTTGGCCCTTCATTCCTCCTTTGGGAAACACCATTGAGTCAAACACTTGACCCTCAGTGTTGTTCCTCTTTCCATCTCCCTTTGTCTCCTTTTGTCCTACCCTTGTTCCTTTTGATTCCGGACCCCTCCTTATATACAATGTACCTAGTAACTTGTAACCTCAGTCCAAAATCGACTTGAATTCCCCCCAAGAGACTTTCCCTCTGCTAGATCCGAAATTAGGGACCCCTAGGACAACCAGCAATGGCACAGCACTCCGCCTGAGTCGCTGAGGCTGAGGTCCTTCCACGCTAAGTCTCCGATTCCATTCCGGAGTTGTCCGAATCCCCGCATTCTAACAGTCTTCCTTGCTTCCAGTAAGCCTTTCGGTCTCGCTGAGGGGGGAGGTGTTGTGACCTTCAGTTACTCTCGGTGGGTGGGATCCCGATTGCTTACTTAGGTTTTTCTAGGTTTCCTTTTTTCGGTTGTTTCCTTGCCCTCTGTAACTTCTGTCTTTCTTTCCTTATTGCTCATTGTCCTTGTGTCAGGGCACACCCGCCCCACCCAGCTCCACCCCACCCGCTACCCCCTTCTTCCCCTTCCTGTCTCCTCCCTCCACTTCCCCCTCTTCTTATTTCTCCTCTGTCTCATTCTCTATTCTTCCTATTTCTATTTACATGGATGACTTTCCTTGATCGATGTACTACTAACCCACCCACAACCCATGCATGACGCACCCAGCCCTGGACGCTCTGGACAACCCCCGGGTACGCCCAGCATGCACGCCTGCAGCGGATCCCTTCAGGATCCCCCATGGGAATATGTCAGAGACGGGATTATTGTCGGAGTCGGAATACTGTCAGAGATCTGGGATGCTGTCAGAGACTGGGAATATTGTTGGAGTCTGGCAGACTGTCAGAAGACAGATAGACGATGGATTGGGTTCTGTCTGAGTTGAGGTCGGAGGTGATGCAGAGGTCTGTTGGAGCGCGCACGCGGATATGCGGGCGGAAATATGCGGCGCGTCCGGAAGTGCTGTTCAAGGTTAGCAGAGTGGGATCGCGGCCTCAGCGACTCAGGTGGAGCGCTGTGCCCTGAGCTTGACGTTTGGGGGAGATCCCGTATTTACGGATTGACACTCACAGCGGACTTCAAACAAGACTTGCGGGCGGAGCGGACCTATAGAAGGAGCACGGACTCCGCAAGCACAGACTCAGAGGGGGAAGCCCCCTTTGCAGAAGGAGAGACTCAGAACAGACAGGGGGGTACTCTAGTTGATTTCAGACTGGGGTCCCCGAAAGTATTTACAAGGTATATAAATAGGCAAGAGGGAATATAGAAAGGCCGGTCAGTCCGGCACGGTCCGGCGCGGAGATAAGCGGGAATTGTCAAACTAAATAAGGACAAGAGCCCGGGAACTGGAAACGAGGAACAGATCAATAAACAATAAGTGGCAAGGGTTATTGATGAATAACTGAATGAGATCAATAACCTAGTGCCAATAAAGAGGGGATCAAATGCCGATATTGGCAGGGAAGCAAACAATAAATGGCACTCGGCAAGGAATGAATGATAAGCTGCCAAGTGACAAATGGCCAGAGGAAAAGCGGAGGTCAGCGCGCGGCGCCGATACAAGTCCGCAAATAAGCGGGGTCGGTGCGGTGCCGACACAAGTCCGCGAACAGAGGTTGATCTGCCAGCACTGTCACACAAGGACAGCATGAAGGCCAACAGAGGTACAGAGGGGAGTGGGAGTGTTGACCTGACCAGAGGTGTCAAGGGCAACCAGAAGTGGCCAGAAGGTGCAGAGATGGGCAGAGGGTGCGGAGTGGGCAGAGGGTGCGGAGTGGACGGAAGCGGGGCATGGCTGTGACCACATAGCAGGAAGCGATGAGTGTGGTTCAGATGGAGACAAGGCAGGCATGACTGAATGCCGGGAGCGCCAAGGGCTCAGGAACTGGAGGTAAGGTCAGAATACCGGCAGGGTCTAGGTTCTGATTCTTGGCCAAGTCTCACGCAGTAAGGCAGGGGGCCAGACAGGGGTTGGGGACTGGTTAGGATGGGTTTCGGGTCGGCGGATTCGCCTATCGGCATTGGTTCGCTGCTGATGGAGCCCCGGGATTTGTCGGTCATGACAGAATACCCGGGTGGCTGGGGCTGTGCATGGGGACGACGTGGCAACTCTCATGTGACCTGAGCACCATGTATATAAACATACCTGGGGTGGGAACCAGAGAAGCAGTCTTCTTCTCACCATTCCCACTTCAGGGACATCTGCCTGCACCGGACCCGTTACCATACGCGCCCGCTTCACACCCCACCGGGCCCTCAGTGCCGGGCGATATACCCGGACGCTCTCGACCCCGGACCGGTCCCTGACACCTTGTTGTTTGCGAAACCCTCCTCCTTCCTTCTCCCTATTGTAAATTAACCGGGTCGCCTTCAATTCCAGAGGTTCTGGCATTTGCCGGGACTGTTGCCCCACTAATCGCTTGTGTCACCTGCGTGCACACAAGACATATTGAGGAATGAAAGGAGTAAACAAAGAACAAAGGAAAGCGTGTTATAATCGCGGCATTGCAGCCCGATCCTCTGAGCACGATATCACAGTGTCATTAGATGTTATCATAGATAAAGTACATGATGGAGCACACTTATATACATTTCTGTGTGGCGCAAAGGAACAAAGGCCAAAGCGTTAAAGCAATAAAGCTTCCCATAAAAGGGAACAATAACCGTGGTGACATCGGAATGCCACTTCAACAAAGCGTGCACCCATAAGTTAAACCGGCGCCTGCTCAGGGCTTTTCAGGGGCAAAGGATAACCCAGCTTATGCATTACTATGGTGCAGAATAGTACACAGGATAATTTTGCTCTAAACAATGAACAGTGATCCACACGTGATCTTATCCCGGCAACTACCGCCACTTCAAAATTCGTGATTTGTCCGAACGCTGTCTCTCTGACGAACATTCTTGAGCGATGGCAGCAGCAGCAGTAGAGGAAATCCGCGCGTCGAGCTATGTTGGGTTCGATACTATTACCCGTCAAATCGAGCACAAGCTCCTTAAGCGCGGGTTCCAGTTCAACGTCATCGTTGTTGGTCAGACGGGTTTGGGCAAGAGCACCCTCATCAACACGATATTCGCGTCGCACCTCATTGACTCGAAGGGTCGCTTGGAACATGACGAGCCCATTAGGCAGACGACCGAGATACAGGCTGTTAGTCATGGTTAGTTTTCTACCGACATCCAGTTTGATGGTTCTGATTCATTCCCCTCAGTAATTGTGGAAAATGGCGTTAAACTCCGTCTGAACATCGTTGACACCCCTGGCTATGGCGACCAGATTAACAACGAAGGCTGGTCTGTACAACAGCTCGTTTTCCGCTCTTCCAATTCTAACATGTTGTTACGTACAGCTGGGACCCTATTGTGAAGTACATCAAGGTTCGCAAGCCACAAGTATGAGGGTGTTCAGCCGTCTCATCCCATTTTTACCCACTAGGACCAACACTCCTCTTACCTCCGCAAAGAGCTGACTGCTCAACGCGACCGTTACATTCAAGACACTCGCATTCACTGCTGTCTTTTCTTCATCAATCCCACTGGCCACTCGCTTCGCCCTATCGATGTGATTGTGATGAAGAAGTTGAGCGAAGTTGTTAACGTCGTTCCTGTCATTGCCAAGGCAGATTCGCTTACTCTCGAGGAGCGGCTCAAGTTCAAGGAAAGGATACGGGCAGAATTGGTTTATCACAACATTAAGTTATATCCTTTCGATAATACGGATGATTATGATGAAGAGGAAGCTCAGCTTAATGAGCGTATCCGGGTAAGCGCTAATTTAGGTAAAATGAGGCAATTACTCATCTCTTCCCCAAGGACATCATTCCTTTTGCTGTTGTGGGATCGGAAAGAAATGTTATCATCGATGGCAAGGCCGTTCGTGGCCGCAAGAACCGCTGGGGTGTGATCAACGTCGAAGACGAGAGCCATTGCGAGTTCGTCTACCTCCGCAACTTCCTTACGCGGTAAACTACATTACCCCAACGATTCCTGGGCTCTCTACTTATATTCTCGTTTCCTTAGCACTCATCTGCAGGACCTCATCGAGACGACTGCGTTGATCCACTACGAAGCGTTCAGATCAAAGCAGTTATTGCTGCTCAAAAACCAGGCCGCTGGCAATCCCTCCCCGCCTCCTGCGCAATGAGCCCGGTTTGAGAATCCTCCTTCCTGGCCATTCGTTACATTCTCTATTCTATGTTCCCGCTTGTGACATTCATTCCTTCCGTCTCTAATCTCATGTCTATTCACCTCCTTATCAGCACATGCAAACCGTTTACATTAAGGATTTAAAGCTACTAAGATACAGAATGAACAAATCACGACGGATGATACCGCTACCGGCGTGCCCGACCTAGCTAAAATCACCTAAGACCCTGCGGCCGAGCTGCTTCCATTACCTGCTGTAGCCGCTGCTGCAGCCGCCGCTGCGGCAGCGGCCTTAGCAGCCCTCGCCTCCTTAAGTGCGGGATTGTTCTTACTTCCTTTCGGTCGCCCGCGCTTTCTTGGTGGAGGATTGTCTCCTGTTGCGCCGGTAGCAGAAGCACCGGTGGAACCAGAGGCTGCTACAGCTGTAGATGAAGCGACTGTAGAGGTACCGGTGGCTGCTCCCTTGGGGGGGTCATCGCCTTCTGGACGGGGGTGTTTAGGAGGACGGCCCTTCTTCTTGTGCGCAGATGGAGAGGAAGTCGCACCAGGCTGTGATGAACCTGAACCGGTGGCGGGGGTGGGGACCGAGGGTTGTGTTTGTGAAGTGGAGGAAGGATGCTGTTGGGCTTGTTGCTCTAAGCGGCGATTCTGAAGGTAACTACCGCATGAGGTTAGCAGTGCCGAGAATGAGTGATGGATAAGTAATATGTTACTCACGCAGCTGACTTCTCGTCCAGCAGAGATTGTAATGAACGAATGGGTGTCATGCCGAGCTCTGCTCGAAGCGAGTCAACTTGCTGCTTTAGTGCGGCATATTCACCTTCTTTGATGCTTTGAATCTTATGTTGGAATTCAGTTCGTCTAGGTGAAGACGCCCTTAGCACTGTCCAGGCAGAACGACTTCGGTGCTTACTCCTGCTGCATGCGAGCCTCCAGAGCGTCCGCCTATGATTCAAACAAATGGTTTGAGGGCCCCCAACGTGAGCTTTCGCGACAAATACCTTTTGACGGTCCTCAGTAACTTGTTGAAGTTGGCTCAATAAACTAGTCCTTTCACTGAGACCAGGGGTGTAAGGGGTCAAAGTTCGGTTGAAATATGGGATGCAGGGGTGCAGGAACAAACCTTTCAAGCCAGTTCTTCTGCGCTTTGATATCTTCGATAGTTGCATTTCGTACTTGAAGAGCCTCGTGGGCCGACAAGACATGAGCAGTATGCATTTGGAGAGTCAAGGCATGCTTCCTAAACCGAGGTTGAACCGTCGGGTGTCAATACATAAACTTACTCAAACGATTCATGGGCAAAACCAGCGAATCGATTATGAATTACTAACTTGAGCTCGGCTGATTTAGCTAGTCGCTTAAGGGATCGACTCCAGTCGTTAGCTTCAAAAAAAAACCATATTTTGGATCACGTCACTCAGACAAAGTAGTAGCAAGTACCATCGTTCTGCTGACTTTGCGAGGCTGTCTGAGGGTACTGGGGCTCTGACTGAGGCTGAGGCTGCACTCGTTGTTGCTGGTGCTGTGGTTGCTGGTGCTGTTGTGACGGCTGGTGCTGATGATGGAGCTGAGACTGATAATACGAGTGATGTCCATGATTGCTATGGCTGTGATTTAAGGTGGTGGGGGTTGATGGCCCAGCTTGAGATTGGATATGGGACATGGGTGCAGCACAATCAGCGGGCCCAAGCGATATGGCAACTTGAGGCGAGAGATAAACGAACGGATGTTTCAACAATGAATAAATTGAAACCGAGTGCCAAGCGCTTCACATTTTTTTACATCCGGTCAGTTAGGCGCTGAAAGGCACATTGCGCCACCGTTTGATATCTGCGTGAAGTGTATGTCCTGATTTTATTCCTCGTCGGACGTCATATTCTGGGTTCCTGACTTGTATGTGTGAGGTGTGTGTGAGCCCCGTGAGAACTACAGTGATGTGTCCGGTTCCTGGCCTTATGCTTATTGTCATTGCTGTGAGAGCGAGTTCCTATGCACGTCCCATGCTCAACGCCGCTCGCTTCGATTTTCGCCATCTCGTTGGGATTCATCGGATAAATGACGCGTAGGAGGGTTTGACTTCCAAGGCTCATGGCGTTACCGCCTTTGATCTATGCTCAACTCTTAATGCCGCTAGGCCAGACCTCGATCCGCAGCTCGTAATGTCACTCCACGGAGTTCAGCGCTTCCTCGCAACACTCTGCTCGTGACATTGGTCCCTCCGTCTTTGACGTGAACATTCTCGAATGTGTTTTTCTGCAGCCACCGCCTTCGCAGATTGGCAGATATTCTATGGTGTGAAGTATTCCCTGCCAAAGTGAAAGTGCTCACCTTCAGAACCAAAGCAACTTTTTGTGCGTCCCATACCTCATAGGGACACTCCTTGAAATCGAATCTTAGGGGAAAGTGGGTTGAGCGATTGGTTGCAGCATCTGTTGCAGTGGGATTGGACTGCCCTTCCTGTATTCAGAATTCCTTGCCCCTTTTATTTTAGTGGTCGTTGATAGCATTCGCATCAAACCGCTTGGTTTTTGTTTTCGCCGTCCCACTAATGATGAGTCTGCGAATTTTCTGGTCGCGAACCCCACCAGCCCTCCAATTGAAGATTCTCTCGGAGCTTTTTTGTGCCTTATTCCGGAACACATTTGTTTTATCTGACATTCTCTACTTCCAATCTCAACAATTCTTGTTGAACACTCGGGTAGAGACATCTTAATGTACCTGCATGCCACTGTGTGGTTATAGAAGCCGCTTGGCTGGTTGTCCCTCCGGAAGGTGCATTTGTTTTAACAACTTACACCCACTGGCACTTTTAACCTTAAGGATATCCTTTCGATGGCTATTTCTCTGGCCAGGTCTGCCGTAACCCATTAAAATCTCCTAGCTAGGACTGCCTCCCAACTCAGGTTCCTTCCATACCAATCCTCTGCAAAGTAGTTGGGGGCGGATGGTCTCTCTTCCCCGTTGATTGGCCCTCGTGTTTGTAGAAGGTGGAGTGACGATGGGAATCATGAGGTCCCTCAGTTTTCTGCCTCTCTACAAGCTCTCTCATCCAATCACCCTTTCAAGTCAGACCAAGAAGACGCAAAACGGGAGTGTCGAAAGTACTCAGCCCTTGCTAGTCAAATCCTTGAGCCTCGACGATCGATCGTGCCTCTAACACCTCACCCAATAGGCCACCCAAACCCTGCTTACTCGCCAGATTGTACCCCGTAAGATAAGGTTGCGAACCAGATCCCCCATGCCTCGTCCCGCAGATATTCTCTTTCCAAAGTGTGGAGGCAGCTAGCAGCGTTCAATACAGCCGGCTTGGGACCGACCTATCGGCCCCACATGAAGTGTTAATCCGGTATCAAGACGTTTTACACTCACCGCGCGGAACATCAGATGCGGGAAATTACGCGCTATTTCCCAGAAGCTCTCCGCAATCAAAACGCTGCAGGCGCAAACGTATATTCAAAATCCTTGCCACCATCAGTCAGCCAAGTTTCCATATCACATGCAGCACACAAGTCCTAATATTTGTCCAACGCATCCCACAACAGAAACACCAAAGACTGCAACTATTTGTACGTAACATCTATTAGGGTCCCAACATATGTAGTGATCAGTTTACCAAATGAGCGTGGCAAAATAGTGAAACCTGGAAACAGAGCAAAAAGAATGAAAGAATAAGAAAAATGGGAATCTATGAATTACCAGAAGTTTCATTTGTAATAGTCCTAGGCAAGAGCAAAAGGGAAGGAAGGGAAGAAAGTCCTCAAAAGAGAGTCCTTGTAACAAACGGCCAATGCAAGAATATCTCCTGATTAAAGCTTGGCACCTGTATGAATAGCCATAGCCTGTCTCGGAGGAACCATTACTTGGAAGCTTCCACCTTTCACCGTGATTCTATTCATCCCCCGAAAGAGGGCCAACGATTGGCACTCAGCATTGTAGCAAAAAGAGTGTGAAAATGACGTACGTAGGGCCAGTGCACGAATTCACACTCTTAGACCCCTCAACAACATCGCAATACTTGCCATCCACCAAGTTCGTACTGAGGGTAACAGTCCACGCCGAGTCGTCGTTATTGATCGCCACATGTCCCGCCGAACCTACATATCAATCCACAAAAAATTTAATAAGATCTGAAATCTCAAATAACCAAGCCGCTTACCACGCCCATATGCAAGCTGCTGAGAATTGCCCTTTGCCACATTATTCAATGTCGCGGAACCGACTTGGTTATAGAACTGGATCATGTTCACAATGACCGTCCAGCGATGTTGACATTCCCTGCGACGGATGGAAGAAAACATTAAAATGGCTCCGCACAATGGAGTAAAAAAAATCAGAGGTAAAAGAGCACGACATACCAGCCCCCAGAAGGTCCATTAGCGGCACACGTTCCGTGATCTAATGCACGATGGGAGAGTTAACCACCTTCCTCACATAGGAAACAAACAAAATATGACACGCACTCCCATTAGGAGCACCTTGATCAGTGTTGCCGAACGTGTACCCCGAATGAACGGTAGGTGTGCCGTATCTAAGCACAGTGCGACGTCACAAAGAATCCCTTATCAGTCGACCACCATCCCAGCTAGAAGCAAAGAGGACTTACGGATAAGAAAGCAAAAACACATGCGCAAGGGTATACACATTCTAAGCGAAGTAATATCTTTAACGACGAGGAATCCCCAAAATCCACCCTGTGATCAGAAATTCATACAGGATACACTCACATTCCCAGAAGCATAACTCAACGAAGAACCTCCACGCTCAGTGTCATGATTGGTCACAAACACGTTCGCCAATCCACTATCGAGCCATCCTTGACTGTTGACACCACTCAACCCAGCAACGCCTGAGCTGAGAAAGGCATCTTTGAGAGCGTAAGCATATCCGAAGCTAGGGGGGGAAGAAAAGGGAGTTAATGACTGGACACATAAATTCGGAACGCTGCAGAAAGCGTGGAACAAAACAGAAGCAAGTGGCAAGACGAGATTATTTGACACGCACACCTGGACATCCCCTGCATCCTCATGTATGTTCATATAATAACCAGTCGTATCGACGACCTCCTGCGTAATATATACCGGCTTTGAAAGTCGACGCAAGATATTCGAGAGGGACGCAGGTGCAATATCTGTTTTCATTGTCCCAATTTTTTTTTTCGATAAATCAAATGTTCGGAATTATCATGGTATCGAGTGGCCCATGGGGGAAGAGTAAGGGATAATGAGGATGAAAAAAAATTGGGCTTACGTTTGGCAGCATCGATACGTAAACCTGCAACTCCAATTGACAAAAGATTATTCAAATGAGCGGCAAGTGTCGTACGGACTTTCTCGGATTCGGTGTTGAGACTGGTTTTTTTGGGTTTCATAAGGATGTCAAAAAAATTAGGGTGGAATTAGAACAAGCGACGTACTCGGCAAGGTTGGCTAGTTGGCAAGTCTCGATTTGAGTCTCGTTATTCCAGTCTTCTACATTTGTACAGAAAGAAATGAACCATCAGCGAACATAGCCCTAAAAAAGGAGGGGAACAAAGATATACCGATGGCATTATTCGGCGTTCCTTCATTTCATCAAAAAAGCCATGGAGCAAAAATTTTAGTACAAGGTAAAGTGCGCAAGACGTTGGGTGCGTCAAACTTACCACAATAATGGAAGTCCTAAACGATGGTATGATCGTGTCGATTGTTATGTGTTTAATAGAAGGATTAGAAAGCTGGGTACCCACCGTTGGATCATACGTCCCCGGATAATTATAATGGCTGAAGGTATGACTGGCGACACCCGTTCCCCCATCAATTCCTAAATCCCAATTAAATTAGCACACACCGCAGACACGAGAACGAACGACCGAACGCACCAGTCATGTGGTTCACAACAACATCCACGATCACCCCCACCCCCAACCCAGTACACACGTTCACCATCTGCGTGAGTTGATCAAGGGATCCTCGTTTCGACTGCAAGGTGTAGGAGACTGCTCTGTTTTAAAATTAACAAGAGGGTTGTCATCAGCACAGAGTTCATTAGGTGCGAAGGGAGAAACGAATTCGGGAGAGAAAAAGAAAAACCTGTGCATCAGCGCACAGAGACCACGGAATTGAATGCGAAGGGAATGCGACAGGGCGCAGGAAGCGAGTATATCAACGAATGGCAGAGAAGACATACTGGTAGTCGGTCCACCATGAATCGCCGGCAATGTGTTCTTGAGTGGGCGAGACTTGAACGTATCCATATCCTTGCTCGGCAAGGAAGGAGCATTCGTTTTGAACTGAGACCCAATTCCATTGGAAGAGAGATGCTATGGCTCTATTACGTGGATGGTTTATGGATTAGCCGTCGGGCATGGCAGAGGCGGGAGGGAAGTGAAAAAAGTTACATTACTTACTCTGTGGGATGAGAAACGGTCATTTTTCAAGAACGGGCGAAACAACAGGGAGAAGGGGCTAACTTTTAACACCCGAAGGAGCACGTTCAGTCAAGTACGTTGTAGGAGCAGCATGGATTCCGTCGTTGCCAAGTAATGACAACGCCACCAGAAGAAAAGTATTGGCGAGCATCGTTGATGACGGGGATCAAAGTGAAAGAGGTTTAAGAGAAAGAGAGAGAGAAAAGACGGCCGCTGGTACAAGAGGCACTGGAAAAGAGTGTGGTTTGGAGTCGGTGATGGTTGAAGAAAAGCGAGTGCGAGGCTGGGCAAGGCCGGGGCCGGGAGGATGCCACCGAACGAACAATAGAGTATCAGTATGTATGTAAAATAAAAATAGAAATGTTGATGATGATCATTGACAGGTAAAACAAATACATAAATTGACTCGTGAGAACAACAGGCAAGTTCAAACTGTCAACGTGACTTGATTTGTATACTCAATAAGCCGAAATTCGAGGACGTTATGCGTAACGAAGCGAGTCCTGCCTCGGACGTGCTTGCGCTATCTTGCACAACCTCCTGGGTATATTTTTCTGAACGGTTGGTTGGCAGGATTACATAATTCTGCCTAATTAAATGAATATAACCCCTAGCACTAAGTCCCGATTCCAATCTCAAAACAATAATCCCTCGTTGTTGAACCCTTGAGCAAGAAAGGGGCATCACACTATTACACCCCATATGCTACGCAGTCGCAGAACCCGCTTGCATGGCTAGTCATTCCTCCGTAGGTCTCACTTCAACGTTTGAGGGACTCGCCCATCTATCGGTCAATGGTAGATATCATCACTCTTCCCGTCGACTCCCCTTGTTTGGAGAATGAGGGAGTGTGGAATGACGTTGAGGAATCGACAAGTCTCCCCGCCCCCATCTCTCCATCCTCCTGCAAGCTAATCCCCGGTCTCTAACCAAAACTGAAAAATAAAAACGCGGGGTGCCAAATGCACTCAGTCCTCGCCGATCAGCCCTCCGATTCTTGAGTCTCGACGCTTGCCGCGCGCGTGTCCCCGACACCTCGATCAACCAACGGATCACCCACGCCCCGCTTACTTGCTAGATTATACCCTCACCGCATAAGGCTGCGATCCAGACCCCTGGCCCCACCAGGCATTCTCTTGTCCGAAGCATGGGGACAGCTAGGAGCCCTTTATACAACTGGTTTGGGTAGAAGATCAACATGTAAGTTGGGTGAGCAGGAGTAAATGTATATTGATTGCCACCATCATCAGTCAGCCCAGGTTCAAGCAAACAAGTCTTAATTGTTCATCCAATACGCACCCCACAGAAAATACACCAGGACTGCACTGTGAGTGCATAACATCCCCTGTAGGGTCCCAATAAATAAACCGATCAATGTACCAAACGAGCGTAGCCGAACAGTGAAACGAGAAAACGGAACGGAAAGGAAGAACAAAACAACCGGAAGGTTGGTTTATATGTAGTAAGAGCAGAAAAAAGAGAAAGTCACCCCAAAATAGGGTCCTTATAACAAATAACCAACGGAAGAATACCTAACTTCCTAACTAAAGAAGCTGAGCACCGACATGAATAGCCATAGCCTGTCTCGGAGGAATTGTGACTTTGAAGCTTCTGTTCTTCACCGTGATTCTAATAACCCCCCGGAGGGACAACGAAGCTCAGCATCCGCCGCGCGCAACAAGAGGAGAAGAAACGTACGAAGGGCCATTGCATCGATTCCCACCCTTAGACCCTCTAACAACATCGCAATACTTGCCATTTGCCAAGTTCGTACTCAGGGTGACAGTCCACGCAGAGTCGGCATTATTAATCGCCACATGTCCCGCCGAACCTACATCACCAAGAAGAAAAAAGTTCGGAGTTGAGATCCGAGATACCAAATAGCCGAAGAAATACTTACCACGTCCATATGCAAGCTGCTGGGAATTGCCCTTCTGTACATTGTTCAACGCGGCGGAACCGACTTGGTTATTGAACTTGACCATGTTTACAATAACCGTCCAGCGATGCTGACATTCCCTGTAACGCAAAAAAAAAGGAGTTTAATAGCTCTGCACAGTGGAGCAAAAAATAGAGAACGACGTACCAGCCCCCAGAAGGTCCATTAGCGGTACACGTTCCATGATCTAATGTACAACGGAGTTAACCACCGTCCCTTCGTACGGAGGAGTAAAAAAAGAAAGGTACGCACTCCCATTCGGAGCACCTTGATCGGAGTAGCTGAAGGCATAACCCGAATGAACCGTAGGTGTGCCGTAGCTAAAACACAGCACAACATCACAAAGGATCAGTCTAATGTCGCACCGGCTATAATCAAGGAGGTCTTACGGATAAGAAAGCGAGAACACATGCGCAAGGGTATATACGTTCTGAGCACATAAAAAGTTGTAATTAATCCCAACCTGTAAACAGAAACTCGTACTTACATTCCCCGAAGTATAACTCAACGAAGAACCTCCACGCTCTGTATCATGATTGGTCACAAAAACGTTCGCCAGTCTACTATCGGGCCATCCTCGACTGTTGAGATCGCTCAATCCAGCAATGCCCGAGTCAAGAAAGGCGGCTTTGAGAGCATAAGCATATCCGAAGCTAGAGAAAAGAAAAAAAGAAAGTGAATATCTAGGTGTATAGCATAAATCCGGAGAGATGGCAGAAAGTATAAAAAGGAGAGAAAGAAAAGTGAAAGGAAAGATGATGAAACACATACACCTGAACATCTCCCGCATCCTTATGCTTATTCATATAAACACCATTGGTATCGACAACCTCCTGCGTAACATACACCTTCCTCGAAAGTCGACTCAAAATGTTCAAGAGGGACGCAGGTGCAATGTCTAATTTTCATTGTTCCAAATCCGATCATGTCAATGAGTGGCGCATGTCGGTGTTGAGGATAGGGATGGGCAAAAATGCGTTATGAGGATGAAAACGCGAAGGAAATTGAGACTAACGTTTTGCGGCATCAATACGGAAACCCCCAACTCCGAGTGACAAGAGATCATTCAAATGAGCGGCAAGCCTCGCACGGACTTTCTCCGATTCAGTGTTGAGACTAGCGTATGTTTTTTTGGTTCCATGAGGATGCGAAAGATAAGGACGGGATTGGAGTAAACAAACGCACTCAGCAAGGTTGGCCAGTTGGCAAGTCTCAATTTGGAACTCGCTGTTCCAATCCACTACGTTCGCACAGAAAGAAATAAGCCATGACCCTCCAAAAAAGAGGGGAATAGAGACATACCAATAGCATTATTCGGCGTTCCTGCACTCGTCGAAAAGAAGTTTGAGTATAAGATGGAACTGGCTTGCGAGTGGCGTCGCGTACATAAAACTTACCACAATAATGGAAGTCCTAAACGATCACGTCATACGTTACATGTCCGATCAAGGGGTTTAGAAAGTGAAGCACCCACCGTTGGAGCATACGTCCCTGGATAATTGTAATGCGTGAACGAATGACCAGCAACGCCCGATCCCGAATCGATTCCTAAACACGAATCCCACACGAGTCAGCACACACGCGACTCAATTGCAGACACCTAGGAACAACGAACGCACCAGCCATGTGGTTCACAACAGCATCCACAATCACTTGCACTCCCACCCCATTACACACGCTCACCATCGTTGCGAATTGGGCACGGGAGCCTCGTTTCGATTGGATGGTGTAAGAGACCGCTCTGTTTTGAAATGGACGAAAAGGTTGTCATTAGCATATGGAGAGGTTCGGTTCCCATATTGAGTGATGAAGAACGAATTTGAAATATGAAGGTTCTGATCAGCGTATATGAGAATTCGAAGGTGTGTGGAAGCCTTCAAATGAACGAACGGAGGCAGGGAAGACCGAGTCGCAGCTCACGGTGCGATGCCCGCCGCAAATTCAAACATGCAAAGCAAGCCAACGGAGAGAAGAAGAAGAAGAAGAAGAAAACACACTGGTAATCGGTCCACCATGAGTTACCGGTAATGTGTTCTTGAGTGGGCGAGACTTGGACGTATCCATATCCTGCAGAGGCGAGGAAGGAGCATTCGTTTTGAACCGAGACCCAGTTCCATTGAAAGAGAGACGCTATGGCTCTGTTACGCGGATGTTAACTATCGTGCAAGGCAGCGGTGAGAAGGATACGTTACTCTGTTGGTGAGAATTATCAGAAAACAGTCGCAAGACAATTACGACGAAAGTGAAGGGGGGGAATGCTTACTTTTGGACCCCGAAGGGGCACGTTCAGTCAAGTAAGTTGTAGGAGCAGCATGGACTCCGCTGTTGACGAGTAGTGACAAAGTTGCTAGGAAGGCACCGAGAGCGAGACTGAACATGGTTGATGACGGGGATGAAAGTGAATGAATATCAGTAACAAAGAGGGTTTGTACGTGTTGACACAGAACAGAAGAGGCGGTGAAACGAGTGTGGGTTTCAGTCTAAGTAATGAAGGAGAGTGAGGGCCAGGCCGGAACACGGAGGTTGGAGGCAATGTCACCGAACGAAATCAATACATATGTAAAAAAAAAAAACATATTGACGTCGTCAAGGACTAATATGGAATATAAATTCAATTGACGATCCACAAAACAGACACATGATCAATTTATCAGGTAAACTATATATCTGACCCCCGCTAATGACCGTGCGGTGAAGCACCAGCTTTGCTCGTGGACACTGGAAATCCAGCGAGCTATGTTCACCAAGCTCGTTCCATCACTTTCGATAATCAATGATCGAAACCGTTGTCAAGGCGTTTGAGGAGTTTATGTGATGAAATATCGCTGAGGCGGTCGTAAGCATCATGCTAGGCAGGTGACCAGCCTCCCTTTAGGTCGTACGTACGACGGCGAGTTATGCACTGGTATCAATTCATCCATCTAGGGACTCGTGGCCCCAGCCAAGAATCCATCGTAGAAATTTTGGGAAGCCGGGTGATGTGGAGCAGTGAGGCGCTGCTGAAAAAATGCCCATGCACCTTTTTATGCATGCGCGACAGATCGGCATGCATCATTCCCGATATTCAGATCGATGACAGTGTGAGAGGGAGTGTGTGGTGCCAGTGCTAGTGCGATGGCGGAATACCAGACCACATGAAAAACCGCAATGCCGCGAGAGGTACAGCAATGCCATACGCCTCAACAAAGCTTTGTGCCCAGGGTCCAACTCTGGAAGATCAGCGGAAACCATTGGGTGATGTTAAATTGGACCAAGCTGTTGCATGTCACCTATTCCAAATGCAACCTAGCCACCAAGACAGAGACTAACAAAGAGAGAGGAAGAAAGGGAATAAATGCGAGAAAGAAAGAAAGACGGAACGGAAAAAACTATTTATGAATCTTGCCATCTTACCACACACTTCTCCTTAGAAGTTTCATCCTCGCTCAGGATGCCAGCATCTAGCCCGCCAAGGATGATGCAGTCTTTAGCCTCCCCATGTGTGGATATGGGTGACACAAGAGTGTCCAAGCGGTTCCGCTCCACGTCCGAACAAAGTGGTTACCATTGAGTCCAACGAACCCGCTGAACTCCACATCCCCCAGCAGTCACGCAACAAAACCTCAGTGCTAAAGAGCGCGATGCTCAAGAGTCCCCTGATAGACACGCGAAGGATGAAGAGGTTGCAGGCACACACTATGGTTTGTTTCCCCTTCCCCCTTTCCCTTACCTTTGACTGTTTGCATTTCGTCTCTTATTAGGGACCACCCAGCGCACCTGCATTAGCAGTGCCTCGGTCACAAAATGGATATTGTAAAGGAATACGAAGCAAAATCCCTTCATACAGCTCTGATGGGGACGGACGAGAAGAGGATGTAAGAGCTGTTCGTGGCGCGCGGGTCAATCCGATCCTGGAGCACATTCATAAACCAGGGATCGCATGCCTCAACCGACACCGGTTCCCCAGAGGGAGGTGGAACAATGGGCAGCCAGAAGATTTGTATTGTCGGATTGCAGTGGATGGTGGATCTGACATCGCCCCCAGACTTGATTTGGAGCATAAGCGCATTGACGAACCACTCCCCTCACCTCAAAAGGAAGAATCTGCCCCCCCCCCCAAGGATGATCTTCTCCGGGATGAGGACCCTATTCCCATTGAGGTCAAAAGAGATGCAACCATGCTCCTATGCGATTGAGGTTTGCAACCACCACCCACAGGGATGCGTGGGTTCGGAATCTAGGGATTCCTACAGGGGATCGGTGCGAGAATTGTTGGCCAAACGCGGCTAAGCGTGCCTCTTGATGCGTTGGAGAACCGCAGCGGTAGGGGTGTGACGGCTCCTAAAATTGTTGGCCGGACGTAAAAAAGTGTCTCTTGATTTGTTGGAGAACCGCGCCAGCTCTGTGGAACGAAAGGAGCTAAAACCGTTAGGCACCCATGCGGGAACCGCGTGTTTCAGAGACCCCCCAACGTTATCGCTTGCAATGGATGGAGGATGAAAGCAGGCCGCTCGACTACTAAACCCTGCAATTGAGATGGAAGGAAAGTGGAAGGTGGATAAGAAAGACGGTGCAGAAGAATGAAAAAGAGCCAACGCTGGATAACGCAACGTGTGCCATCTATGCCATTATCCATCGGTGGGGGTGAACGCAGGCCACTCAACCACTAAACCCTGCAATCGAGAAGGAAAGAAAATGGAAGGTGAATAAGAAAGACGGTGCAGAAGAATGATAAAGGCCAGTGCAGGATAACGAAACGTGTGGGTGCCATCTATGCCATTATCCATCGCAGCAAAGAGAACCTCTTAGACCCATAACCAGCTAACCACATTGGGTGCTGGGGGAGCCTCTAGGCCACGGCAAGGTGGGTTCTCATCCTAGAGGCAATGTTGTTCAGTCCAATAGCGGGGATGCAAACCACTCTGGTCATAAGATATCAACGGCAATGTGGCACATGCATCAGCAAAAAATTGTTATGCTCCTGAGTGCTCCAGAGTATCGAGAGCACTGGGAGAATCAGGAGGAGATTGGCCGGTCCAGGAACAGCCCATTTCCTCCGGAGTTGGCTAGGTACTCCAGGGCACTCCCAGGAGGGCCTGGAGCATTGCTTTGTGCACAAACATATCCAGTAAATACAATTTAAATGCTTCAAAGTGTATAGGGGTGAGAAGCTTCTGGGAGCTCCTGGAGCATTTGAAAATGAAAAGGAAAAAAAAAAGAGGGAAGATCCCCCATGAATACCTCCTACCACAAGACTAACACAACAAGACACTGCTTAACATTTAGATCAAACACTTTACTATATATCAAGGACACTGAGACTCACCAATACACAATCAAAATTTATGGCCTGATATATGATTAATCTGGCAACTTAATCACTTTCGGGCTGGCAGAATATGGGGGAGGGGGAAATGGGGGAGAATGAGGGGGGGAAATGAGGGGGAGAATGAGGGGAGAATGAGGGGGGGAATGAGGGGGGATATAGAGGGAAATGAGGAAATTTTGAAAAATAGGGACTTCTAAAAAGTTGAAAAAAATAATTAGGGAAAAAATCAAAAAAAAAATTCAGGAACTGTAGTGCCTTTGAAGTGCTTTCAGGATATATAATTATTTGCAAAATCGAGGAAGAAATGATGGAGAAAAATGGAAAATACTTTCGGAGACCCGAGAAATAATGAGAACTGAATTGATGGGAAAGTCTGAAAATTGAATAGGGAAGTGAGGGGAAGCTTTGTAGCATTGTTATTTTCTGCTGTTCTAATTTTTCCTGATTGTTCTTGGTCTCACTCCCAGCTGCTACTGGATACTCCTGGATACTCCTGGATACTCCTGGAAGCTCCTGGGAGGGTCCAGGAGCAGCTAATGGAAAATACTTTTGGAGACCCAAGAACTGAATTGATGGGAAAGTCTGAAAATTGAATAGGAAAGTGAGGGGAAGCCTTGTAGCATTGTTATTTTCTGTTGTTCTGATTTTTCCCGATTCTTCTTGGTCTCATTCCCAGCTGCTCCTCAATACTCCAGGAAGCTCCTGAAAGCTCCTGGGAGGGTCCAGGAGCAGCTGGGAGTGAGACCAAGAACAATCAGGAAAAATCAGAACAGCAGAAAATAACAATGCTTACAAGGCTTCCCCTCACTTTCCTATTCAATTTTCAGACTTTCCCATCAATTCAGTTCTCATTATTTCTCGGGTCTCCGAAAGTATTTTCCATTTTTCTCCATCATTTCTTCCTCAATTTTGCAAATAATTATATGTCCTGAAAGCACTTTAAAGGCACTATAGTTCCTGAATTTTTTTTTGATTTTTCCCTAAATTTTTTTTTTCAACTTTTTAGAGACCAAAATTTCCCTCCCACTGCTCCTGGCACATTACATACTCCTCACCACTCCCAGCTGCTCCTGAACCCCCTCCCAGGAGAACACTATTGGCTCCAGGAGTGCCCAATCTGCTGTTTTGTCTCCCACATGCTCCAGCCACTCTTGATGCTCCGGAGCATAACGGACTTTTGCTGATGTGTGGTGCATGGTAATCTCTGCCTCAACCATGGGTGTCACCGACACTTCTCACACTTGGCAGGTAGCTCTCCTGCCATGCATTGCCCAAATATCAACACCAATCAACACCTGGCTGCTATGGCTCCTAGTGGATCGGATCAGATATTTAGAGGTTTCAAACAGAATCCATATCTGGTGGTTAGAAATCCGCGGATTGTAGATAAAATGTTCCAAAATTTCATTTCATCATGCAGAATGTCCTTGATGAGAGCTTTCTAACAATACCAAATTTGTCCATATTGGTGGAGAACTGATGGAAATATGGGGAAAACTTGGAGGTTGTCAGGGCACACCCGCTCACCTGGCTCCACCCGGTGCCCCCTCCCTCTTCCCTCCTTCTCTTCTTTTCCTTTCTTTTCTTTCTTTCTTTCCTTTCTTTCTTCCCTCTCCTTATTTCAATCTTCCCATCACTCTCTTCCTGTTTATTCCTTCTATTTACACAGACCACCTTCCCTTGTATCACTGTACTGTTAACCTGTCTGGCCCAGACACCCCAGATGGCTTCCTGCTGTGCCCAGCATGCATGCCTGCAGCAGATGCTCTTGGGATCCCCCACGGGGACACCCAGGTGGCTGCAGCTGCCTCCGAGGATGACGTGGCATCCATCATGTGACCTAAGCCGCATGTACATAAATGTACCTGAAGTGGGAACTGAAGAAGTAACCTTCTCACCTTTTCCACTTCAGTCTGAGTGGCCAGGGACAGCTGTCCCATATCGGGCCCACCTGTCAGAGACCTGGTCGAGACGAAGGAGTGTCTCCGTGGCAGAGGGCTTCAGCCTCAGCGACTTATGCCAGGAGCGCTGTGCCAAGTAAACACGTCCGTGCCCTAACTTACTAACTGGCAACCAGAACTGAAGGGGGTAAACTCTAGTTGATTTTATTACTGGAGTGTAACCTATGTACAAGTTAAGTATATATAGTTACAGCGAGGGTGGGTCCGCAAATGGCGGAGCCGAGCGGAGCGGAGCTAACGGGGTTAGACATTAGCCGATTGAATATTACCAATGAGTCGGGTTACAGGGTTAACGGAAAGGCAGGCGATAACCCAGAAACGGAAAGGAGGGATGGGCCTGAAGGTGGGCTTTGCAGGGCAAGCAAGTGTATTGTCCAGTGGAGGCGGGAGTGCGCTAGCGGACGTCAGAGCTGTCCGGAAGCCTTTGGGGCTCCGTACTTAGGGAGGCATAGGTAATAAATTGAAAGGAGGGGGTGGTGGCCATCGAGGGGTACCAAGGGGATTGCGGAATATGGGAGCTCCGAGGTTAGTGAAGGAGGAGCGGAAGTAGACCGGAGGGATCGGAGGGATCGTAAGTCGATGGCCAGGGATGGATATGACACCACCAGTACGCATGCCTGATCCACCCCCTGCAAGGTCCTCAGCACTGGGTGCTACACCTGGACCGCCTCAACCCTGGATGCGTCCCTGACAGAGGCCAAATGCCTAATTTGGAAATAATGGGCCTGGGTGGTCAAATAAGACTTGAAACAAAATATATAAACATAGGAGGGGTATCTAGGACAATAGGTGACAATGAATCCGCAGATATTATTCACTGAAAATGTTGAAATCCTTGTTTTCTTGGTACACTGTGGACCATTCATTGAGTCCATCGGTGTTAGAACGTGCAGATTCGGACGACTCCGGAATGGAATCGGAGACTTAGCAAGGAAGGACCTCAGCCTCAGCGACTCAGGTGGAGCGCTGTGCCATTGCTGGTTGTCCTGGGGGTCCCTAATTTCGGATCTAGCAGAGGGAAAGTCTCTTGGGGGGAATTCAAGTCGATTTCGGACTGAGGTTACAAGTTACTAGGTACATTGTATATAAGGAGGGGTCCGGAATCAAAAGGAACAAGGGTAGGACAAAAGGAGACAAAGGGAGATGGAAAGAGGAACAACACCGAGGGTCAAGTGTTTGACTCAATGGTGTTTCCCAAGGGAGGAATGAAGGGCCAAGGCCCAAGAAGGAAGGAAGGAGGATGGGAGTCGGGAATGGCTAGCTGACTGAATAGAAAGGAAGCAGCAGCCCAAATAGGAATGAGGGAGAATAGCGGAATTGAAATGGACAATGCAATAGTTGCAAGGTCCGGAGTAAGTCCGGAAAGTCCGAACTCGGAGGTTAAACTCCGGAATATTGGCAAACGTAATTAAATGGAATGAGCTAACCAATACAATGGGTATAAGCGGAGGTGGGGTCAAAGTCCGAGGTCGGAGCTAAGACCAGAGGTTCCGGAGACGAGACGTGAACGGGATACCGGAGCAGAGGTCCGGAGTTGGGAGCATAGGTTTTGCGTACTCGTCTGGAAGGTGTTGAGGTTGGGGTCGGACCGAAGGTGGTGTCCGAGCCGGAGGTGGGATAACCTCTTGGGAGTCGGCAAGGAGAAGGTGATGGAAGGGAAGTAGGGCTCCGGAAGTCGGAGTTCGGAGTTCTGGGAGCCCGGAGTGGAGGTCGGGATTGTATGGATATGACAATCGGACTATACATCTTGCACACAGGCATCTCCATGAAGGATTGCCCAATGCTTCTACTTTTGGCATCCATGTTGATGAATGCAGTTGAGGATGGCTTAAAAGCCACCTTGCACAATTTTTCTCTTCTTAGTTCCCACACTTTCCTCAGCTCCCTGTTGGCAATTTCCCATAGTTCAATTCAGACTTTGCATAGATTGCATACTTTGCATAGATTGCAGACTTTGCAGACTTTGCAGACATCTATGGAATGAGTTACCGATAAAAAATACCAATGGATCTTTTTGGGTCAATTCATACTTCACACATTTCCACTTTGTGCATTTGCATGCTTCGCTATTGTATACTTTGCATACTCTAAATACTTTACATACTTTCAGTGAAATTGATGGGAATTCATATTAATCATGATGCTTAGTAAGCTGGGTATTGCTGACAGGCTGGTTATGAGTACAATGTAGGATTTCTATGAGTGATATCAGCAGGGTGCATTAGTATAATGGCTAGAGGGCACTGAAATGATGGATGTTTGGCAGGTTGGTTCAAACGCTGCCAGTGTTGTCCTTTTTTTACAGGGAAAGTAGCTGTCGTTGGACTGTTATTCTTTGGAGTTGCTGGGCTAGATTGTTACTGGGTGGGTACCTGTATTGGTGGGGTGGTGGTAGGTATGTACCATGCACCAGGTGGGCAGGGTGTCAGTACAGGCATCACCTGAATCAGGTGACTGTGGGAATTTTGATCATGATTGTGATCGAGATCACTTCTCCCACAACTCTGCAACCTAGTGATTGCTATGCCTCGTACCTCAAACAAGGCTGCTTCAGGAGGTATGTAGCAGCTACCTGTGCATTATATACCTGAAGTCATGCTATTTTATTAGTCACACAGGCTTTAACTTCATGCAGCAAGCAGGTCCACCAAGTTCTCAATGCAAAGCAGATAATGGAGCTTGAATTCCACTGGAATCAGCTCATCGACAAATTGGGGAAAGGAAACGGGCTTTCCAAGGTAGCGGTCTGTTTTGTGATTGCTAATGCTGTGTTTGCCTAATTCATCTGTACCTAGGAACAGGTCCTTGCTGTCGTTAGGACAAATGCAAAGGCATTGGATGAGCATTCAATGCTGCCTCTCCTCCAGCAAGCAGTGGAGCATTATGATTCATTTGAGTCAAGCAGAGCCTCACACTGTTCAAAAGTTAGCTTGGTAAGGCAGAATTCTGTGCCATTGGTCTAGCTAATCTGGTATTAGGCCAACGGTCTCCAGCTTGGCAAGTGGCAAACTCTTGCTCAAATGACTGAGCCCAACAGTGTCCCTGGTATCAAGGTCCACCTGGTTGACTTTGATGAAACCAGTGATGCATGCTTCAAGCTATGCATGACTCATCACTGGGTATTTGAGGCTAATGGAGGCTGTACTGAAGATGCTGAAACTGTCAAGAAAAAATTTTATGTTGGGGAGAATAAAGATGAGTGGCTGGTGCTGGATGCAGAATCATCACATATTGTTCTAAATCGCAGTAAGCTGACATCATAAATTTCTGAAAACTAAATTTGCAGCTAAAACTTACTTATGAGATGGGGTTCTAAATCTATGACAGCCTTCTCATCCTGGCCAGCTTTGTGCTTTTGGCATCAGTGTTGGGGCTCATCATAACAGGAAGTTAGGTCACACCAAGTTTACAAAACAGCCAAAGTATAGTCCCTCAGCCCTCCATCAAAGTGACCATGATCTTCTTGGCCTTGCTTCACTTTCCTGGGCACTGATGATGGCACAATTGCCTGTGGAGATCAAGGGAGTTTGCTGAGGGGATTGAAGAATCAGGCATTCCTGCTCTTTTCTCACCATCTATCACCTCAGATTGTGAGCACCCAGCATCATTGTGAAGAAATTAATTTTCTCATGTTAGTTCATACAAGCCAAAGGATACTACTTTGAGTTTATGTCATATCCATACAAACCTGATCCCAATCCAACTTCCAGACCCTCCACTCTACCACCTCTGGAGTCCTACCCTACCCCTGTCCACTCCGATACTGAAAGGTTGCTTACTATTTTGGGGACGGTAACGTTCCGTTCCCCTGTTCACCTCAGGCCTCAGTAGGTCCGTCTAAACATAAGCTTTAATGAGCTGTATATTCAACGGGGTAGAGGTAAAAGGCTACCGGGCCTTTACAACTACTCCGAGGTATATATATGTAATTTACATATCTCGGCACAAATAAATAAAGAAATAAACACATCACTATAATGGGAATTATAGTGATGCAACATAATATAAATATCACTATAATCAGAATTATAGTGAAGTAAGGTTAATCCCTTACAGATACTCTCCTTCGAACTGGACCTCACTCCTCACCTTGCTCCTCTCATCACTCCTCTCCCTCTGACCCTCTTCTGCCAACCTCTGCCAAGTTACAACCTTCCACCACAGTCCCATACCCCATACCTTCGCTCTGAGATCCCATCATGGTTCCAACATTGGACTTTGACTCCACCTCGGGTTAAGTCCACTGCATTGGTGACCTCATTTTGCATAAACTCCATTGCCAATATCCCTTGGACTTCCAACTCTGTCTCTGTAACCTCCATAAGCTCCACTACCTCCAAGCTTTACGGAACGTTCTCAGCACTTTTGCCACTTGTACTGTATCTTTCGCACTTTCCCCTCATCCCTATTTGGACCACTGCTTCCTTCCATTTAGCCAGTTGTCATCAACCCCACTTCACCTCATCCTCCTGCCTTGGTACTGCTCCACTTCTGTAACTCCCTTTGTCTCTGTTCAGACACCTTTGTTCTGGTTTGGACCCCCTTTGATTTCCTTGTGCTTTCGTCTCCCCATTATATACAGGCGCTTGTACATACTTGATTAGACCCTCAGTCTAAATTTGACTAGAAGTGCCCCTAGAGACTTCTCACTCATCACTTCTGGAATTAAGGGCCAAATGGACAAACAGCAATGGCACAGCGCTCCCCTTGAGTTGCTGAGGCCAAGGTCCCTCCTTGCTAAGTCTCTGGTTCCACTCCAAAATTGTCAGCCCTTGCCCCGTTCTAACAGTTTAAGGATAAGATGTACCATTTTCCTGATAAGCCCCATCCACCACCTGAAATTTATTATGCAGCAAACTATACTGCATAAGTCATGCAAATCATGATTGGCCTTGGTCTTGATTGACCATTTTGCCTATCAGTCCCTGCCATTGTGATCCTGCATTTATTAACTGGGTACTAGCCTTCTGTGCAGCACAAACAAGGGTTGGTGGCTGCACCCATAATGGTGCAGACTTTGTGGATGTCAGCCTGGGCATTATTGTGTGGAATGCTGCAGATAGCATTACTGCATTTCATCCTCATCACCAACATGGCACCACCAAGTGTCAACATATCATGACTGCAGGGGTTGCATTCACATTTTCACAACACATCCTCAAAGCATACAATGAATCCCTAGCCCAAGGGAAGTCCTCACCTCATGCAGTTTTCACTTGGGAGCGGATTGAGGTGGATGAGAACAAGGGTAGCCAACTTGACAGTGATGATAGTTATGTTTGCTCTTTTGAACAGGAGATAGTTGATCCATGGGACAGGATTGCATGTAATGAATCCCTGGGTGAATAGAAGTATTTCATTTTTTGGAAACAATATTTTGTATGCATATGTGTAGCCTTCCATCACACTATGATCTGTTAAAAATGTAACCCAGAGTGGAGTGACTGTCATATCTGTGAAACTGTGGGTCCCATTCTGAGCTTCCTGTCAGGGTGTTACATCCTGTCATATCCATACATAGCCAATCCTGATTTGACTCCTGGGCCCTTTCCACCACCTCTGGAGTCCTACCCTATTCCCGTCCACTCTGATCCCCACCTTCCACTCCTCCCAACTCTCCCCTACCTAATCTCCACCAAGGTACAACCTCCCGTTCCCATCCCATACCCTGAACTTGGACACTGATCGTACCTCTGCTCTGAGATCCCATCCTGGTCCCGACCTTGGACTTTGACACCACCCCAGCTTAAGTCCATTGCATTGGTGACCTCATTTCATGTAAACGCCATTGCCAATATTCCTCGGACTTTCAACCCCACCTCCATAAGCTCTGCTACCTCCAAGCTTCATGGACCTACCCCAGCTCCTTTGGTGCTATATTGTATACTTCGCATTCCTCCCTCACCCTTATTTGGACTCCATAAAATATAGAGACCCATGGGGATCCAACCAAAAGCAGGATAGGGGGTCAGCATAAGGATGATTCTACAGATAATGTGAGGTTGTGAGAGCTTGGTTTACAATAACATGGATGGGTCAGGTTTTGTGTGATGATAGTTTGTTGGATACTAACTATTTACATGGCATGGGATACTGTACTCCACAGAGCCCATAAGAGGCTAAAAATGGGAAAATCCCATTTCTATAATTATAAATATGTACTTTGATTTTTGCGCCACAACTGTGAGTGTCCACTGAATATGTTGGTGTGCTTGTGTTATGGAAATGGGAATTTCCCATTTCTAGCCTCTTATGGGCTCTGTACAGTACAAAGTCACGTGATATGTAAATAATAACAACTTAATCATCTACAACCACAAAATTCCACACTCTGTTAATGTCATTGTAAAGACAACTGTTAAACAACTGTTACATTAACTGTAACACTATTTCGATGTCACGGCCACTCCCTGCACCTGGACGCTATAGAAATGGCCATTTTTATAACAGCTTGTTTAAGCACTGGTGTAGCCTCACACTCCCAGTCCATCAGTACATGCCATAATGAGGCTACATATATTATTAATGAGGGGATTAAGGTAAAGGGTGGGGAATACAATCCTTACAACCAATCACAGGTGCATCATACATGTGAGGAGCCCAGGGAAAAACATGCATACATCTCCATCAGTTTTGATCACAGCAAAATTTATGTAAATAGTATTGACATGTCAGTGCTGCCTGTCTTTAGTAACTTTCATCATTAGAACAATGGAAATCCCCCCCTCTGCTCTGACCACCTGCACATCACTGTGGCAGCATTGAGTGTCAAATCCTTGTAACAGAGCAAAATAACAAGCACATAGAAGCTGTTACATAAATGGCCTTTGGGAGTTCATGACATCCATGGGTGTCCATGAGCACCCATGGGAGGCTGTAAAAGTCATGTAATTTGTCAGAAAATTCATGGAACTCCATGAAATTCCATGAAATTCCATGGAGCCCATGGAGCATCTATCACTTTTCACGAGTTACTGCTCAACTGGTACATGGCAACATTTGCTTCCACAAATTTTGTTCCCACAAGCCAAGGTGAGATACTCAGTATCTCAGCTGGTGCATGGCACAATTGGTTCCCAAAATTTTTGTGTCCACTTATGCAATGCCATCTGGTAGATTGTCAAGTAAAATAATATAGATCTTGTATAAAAATGCATGTTTGCCAACATGATAGTAATGGCATCATAACTAGTACATTACTCTCACCTGAATTTAAACCCATGCATTCATTGCTTCCCACCAACAACAATTATGTGACACCTAGCACCATCAACAAATGGCCCCATGTCAGGGACTGACCTGGGGTCGAGAGTGTCTGTGGCACTGAGGGCCTGGTAGGGTGTGATGTGGGTGTGCGTAGCAGCGGGCCTGGTACAGACAGGCATCCCTGGCCACTTAGGCTGAAGTGGGAAGTGTGAGAAGAAGGCTACTTCCCAGTTCCCACTTAGGCTATGTTTATATACATGCAGCTGAGGCCACCATGTGGGAGATGCCATGTCATCTGCAGACACAGCCACACCTATCCATGTATCTCTGCAAGAGATCCCAGGAGCATCTGGTGCATGGGAAGTTGCCCGGTGAAGGAGCGGAGCTGGATCACCTTATGTAACCAGTTTCCTACGTCCAATAACGATATTAGAGTTTGTGCTGATTTGCGTACTGACCGTGTTTTGGTTGCCAAATATATGATTGTTCACTGTCTAAACAACAATAAACACCCCCCAACGATCTCACCTGACGTATAGATCGTCTACGGATAAAATTCTATATTGACTTTACTATGATTTCTAGTCAATATTACACCTATATTTACCACTTTCAGTAGGATGTGATTTTCCTGATAATTTATTGAAGGAAAACTGCTAATAAAATAATTCCACAATAAATGTTACTCAATACAGGAGTGACCAAACTGCTCTTTCTATCGCTTAGAGTGCATGCTAGTTATCTAGCAGGTTCAGGATCGCTCACTTTTCTCCTGTGGTGTGATAACCAAAAATTGCTGAGAGATTATTCAATTAAGAAGTCCCTCCACCAAATTCTCACTAATTCTCACTATGACACTTTTGTTCAGCTGTGTCTAACTGACCCTAACTCACGCTTAGAGTGACGTGTTAGTTTTATATTAGCTAACAACTAATATTTGCTTTTATCTTTTGGAGCAAACGAACCAACCACTGGTGAGGAGAATTAAACTTTTATTTCTACCTGAGGTTTGAGAGGGGGCAGAAGCGGCGGCCTTTTATGCTTTTCAGAGGCCTCTCTACTCCCACGCCTCGCACTAGTTACATGTGCTACATTTGTATTATAGATAGTTCTAGAATGATATAGGGGCTTGGGCTGTGTAAGCTTAATAATGGACTTAGGACATGACTCAGCAATAAGTAATTCATTTCTTTGTCTTTTGGGCCGATCTCAGCGGGATCTTGTAGCGCTGAAGCTATGCTCTACACCGCCTTAATTACGAACGGTTATCTTTAGAAATGACTCGGCTATAAAGGAACTTTCTAGACTGTTCTCTAATTGACCCCTTTTTGTGAAGCCGCATCATTACTAATGTTCTAGAGCCTTCCCAATTAATTAACTGATCCGCGGACTTCTGAATCACTTCATGCTTATGATCCGAGATCCAGATCATCAATCATTCCTTTGTTCCGATTTATTTGAGCTTAAAATCAAAAAGTTTTGATGAATCATGGGAAAATATACACGATCCGGTCTTTTAGCATTTTCTCCTCTTCTGATGCGATCAAAAACTGTCCGCCCGCGCCGGGGAATACTCTATCATATGGTATTCGGTCCGCCAGACTTCCGGGCGCCAATATATTTCC